GTTTGTTCTATGTCTTAGTTGGTTTGAGATTTATAAGTTGATAAACAATACAATGAAATACCTGAATATCTTTGGCAATGTATAATTCTTTTAGCCATTCACTGGAATTACCCCCAAACTACCTTTGATTGATTTTTTATTAAAAACTTATTTTTGTCCTTATTTAGGATTTCTTGGTCATCATCTTTTTGAATTGTTGTTAAATGATCTTTAGAAATATTTTCACATACTTTGCTTGAAATATTTTCACATACTTTGCTTGAAATATTTTCACATACTTTGCTTGAAATATTTTCACATACTTTGCTTGAAATATTTTCACATACTTTGCTTGAAATATTTTCACATACTTTGCTTGAAATATTTTCACATACTTTGCTTGAAATATTTTCACATACTTTGCTTGAAATATTATCACGGATGAGTCTGCTTTAAACCAATTTAATATTTTTAGAAGAATACTTTTCTACGCTCAGAAGTGTTCGAATTTCCTTAAATATTTCTAAATCATGCTGTTTCTGTTTTAACGAAATGAATTTTGATAAAAAAGACTTTTCTTCGACTAAGGAGTACGTTCTTTTGAAGAACGAAAATTTTTTATTATTTTCACGTCAAACATTTAAATACGCAATCTTTGCAATGACATCGCAAATGGAGGAAGTGTTTGTTTAACGGTGAAAAGTAAAAAAAAAAAAAGTTTTATGAAGAAAAAAAAAACCAAAAATATTAAAAAAAAAAAAAAATTGGTGTATAATTAAGAACAGAGGTTTTAAATAAAAATAAAAAACAAGAAAAAAAAAACCAAAACAAATAAAAACAAAGTTCGAAGAAAAATCTTCGAAAATGGAAAATAATAAAAAAGAACTAAAATTTTTTCTACAACTATTATTTTATGGGAAGAAAAGAGAAAGAACAATTTTAATCAATTTCGTACATTCAACGTACAAATGTACAATGTACTACACTGTTTATTTATGTATTTATGTATGTAAAAAATGTTGAATGCATTTATTTTTTTGCATTTTTCTCTGGCAATTTAGTTGTTGTTGTTTTTTCTATATCTTATATTTACTTTTGTTTAACTTATCTATGTAATGCGTAATATAGCCTTTAATATTGTATATATATATTTTAATTTAAATTTGCCTTTATTTTGCTTTTTTATATTTTTCTACTAAATTTTTTTCTCTTACTCTATCATTCTAAACTTTATTTTTTTTTTTGTCTCAATAATTTTTGATTTTATTTGTTTATTTTACTAAGGTGTATATGAGTGACACCGAACCTAACTTCGTAAATTACAATTAAATTTGTAATTTTCGATTTTATGGTTTAATAAATGGATTAAAAGAAAAATAGTTTTGCGAAAATTAAAATTTTAAAAGCTATGATTTTTTTAAAACTTTTTCTAAAACGTCACTTGAAAAGTGATCCAATATACAGTAACTTTTTGTTTGTTTGTTTATTTCGCCGTTTAATAACTTTTACGATTTAAAAGTTTAAAAAAAAAATACTGGCGGGGCAAGAAGAAGACATTTTGTCTTATCACCAATCCCTAATCGTACGTATTTACAATAACCAAATAATATATTTATACTTTACAAACAATTTATTGAAAATTATAAATGTCAAAATAAATAACAATTAGTTTAAGAAATACTTCAAGAACATTATTCATGTTAAGAGTAATAACCAAGTAAACAAGAAAAGTTGAAAAAAAAAGAAAGAAGTAAATTAACTAATTAAAGAGCGCGTATTTACAAGAGCCATACTATATACATATATTATACAAAGTATTTATTGAGAAATATAAAAATAAAGTATATAACAATTTGTAATAAAGTAGTATTTAAAAAAAGAGCGAAAAATTAGAAATAAAAAAGTACTTAATTTATAAAAACCGTAATATTTATGTATACTTTAAAACCTGATAATTATCGTGACGTAAAATTTCTATTACTTAATCTAAGTTGTTGTTTTTGGGAACACCGCAAGTTATAGTCACGTAATCAGTTTTTCCTTCTTCATGTGATATGTATTGTAATTTACTGTTTAGATCATTTTTTAGCCATTCTAAATGTGTGCTTTTAATACCATAACTTTTGAGTTTTTTTTATAAGAATATTATGGTCTACTGTATCAAAGACTTTGCTAAGATCTATAAAAACTCCGAGGGTAAACTTACTTTCGTCAGATGCTTTAAATATATTGTAAATAATATTAATAATGGCATTGACAGTTGAATACCCTGGGTGAAATCCAAATTAATTATTATATAGAATATTATTTATATTTAGAAATAATTCGCTCTAAAATTTTAGAGAAGTAAAGGAGTATTGAAATTGGTCTTTTCAGGATTATGTATGTATGTATGTATGTATGTATGTATGTATGTATGTATGTATGTATGTATGTATGTATGTATGTATGTATGTATGTATGTATGTATGTATGTATGTATGTATGTATGTATACTAGATATATATTTATAAAGTAGTAAAGAATCATTTAACAACATTATTATTGTTTACGTAATAACATTTTTTTTGTATAACAGTTTAATAAACGCTTTGGGGCCATTCATAAAGGACGTCATCCAAATAGGGAGGGGAGGGGGTTGAGTTAAAAAGGACAAAAAAGGATAAGGGGAGGGGGGAGATTGTCAGAAAAGGACGTCACTTTATAGATTTTTTATTTTAGTTTAATTAACATGGAAAACTACGTAAACATGTGTTTTTAAGAAGATAATGTATGAGAATATTTTTAATTTTATTTTTTAAAGGTGTATCAGCAGATTCAAACATCATTGCGAGATGAAATAAATTTTTTTGGAGTTAAAAATAGGGGGGGGGGGGATTCAGGATTTTATGACGTCCTTTTCAAGGGGGGTATAGGGAAAAAGGGGGGGAGGGGGTCAATAATTGGCTAAAAAAATGGTGACGTCTTTTATGGATGGCCCCTTTTGAGTCTTTTCCGTAAGTGCAAATTCCGAAATGGTCATTCCATAATGAACTGTTTTGTAAGTATTCTTTTGAAATGATTTTTTTCGCATGTTCTTTTCGTAAAGCGTTATTACGGAGTTATTATTATTTATTTTTTTCGTATAATGCATTACGGAAGATGATTTTGCGCGTGTTCAACTTCCGTAAAAGCAATTTTAGTTACGGAAGATAAAAATGCGAAATTTTTGTAAATTTTGTTTATCGGCGAACAACCCAAGTTTATAACTATTTTTTTGTGGGTTATTAACTAATTATGTAATTTTCGGAAAGGCATAAGAAGTAAATACTTTATGCGTTTATAATCAGCTGCAAATAAGAACTGTCTTGTTTTATATTTAAATTTGCTATTCTCTTTTTGTAATGGGTATAAATCAAGGAACAGATATTGTATACAAACATTTTTTACGCACTAAAAAAGTTGTGAATGGAGTTAAAGTTTTCAGATTTAAATGTATGATAACAGAAAAAAATTAAAGGAGTGAATTGTGCGGTGAAGAAATTGTGTGTGCCAAAAAAAGCTTACTTGAGCAAACTTATTCACACTTTCGAGAAAATACGATGATCTTTTGAAAAATATAGAAAAAAAAAACTAGAGAAAAAGAAAGAAGAGGACAAGAAAAAGATGAAATTTACAGGCAATCAAAGTAACTCGTAGCAGTTTATATTAAAGTGTTACCCACCTCAGCAAATTAATTTGAATTTTACGAAGGACGAGTTTTTAAAAGTGTTAAATGAACAAGTTTTAGTTGAAGGACTTTCATTCCAGGTTAGAGTTTATTAAACAACATTTATGGTATTTATTTTTTGTTTTTAACTTTTTCTTTGTACTTTGCTTATTGGTTTAATTTTGTAAAACGCTTTTCAAAGTTTCTTTGTCGCAATTAATCTTAAATTAAAAAAAAACATGTTTTATCAAAATTGTTTGTCCATTTATTCTGAAATGTTTTTTTTTAGGTTTGAAAAAGTGGCTTCTCAGTTTAGATTTACACTAACAGATTACAATTACAGAATGTATCAGACATAATATGAGAACTCAAACTTGCAACCTTGCCATAAAGCATCGCAAAGAAATTAAAAATGTAGTATCAAAACTATTGATCTATTTAAAAATCGATTTGACAACAAGACATATGCGTCACTACCTTGGTATTAGTGTCGAATTCTCAATAGATGATGAAGTTATTGTTGTCAATCTAAATTTGAACTTTTATTGGTGCAAACCCCACCTCTCGGTAAGTTTTACGGCATCGGTTTGGAAGGAGGCGTGAACTCCAGATCTAAATTATATTTGTAGTATTAGCAAATACTTTTTAAATAATAATAATAAGATATAGTTATTTTTTTAGTAAAATAGAAACTTTAAAACAGAAACATTAAATAATTTATTCTAGCATTTTAGGGACGTTTTCACCCGTGAAATCTCCGGTTAAGACAAAAAAATAAATATATTGGAGTCCGGAGTCCAAGGAGTCCCTCTTTTTTGACTCCAAGTTCTGCAGTCCCCGATTTCCTAAAAATCGATAGGACTTCGTATCCCTTCTCAAAACTAGGTACCAGCAATCTTTTGTATTAAGTTGCTTCAAGTTAGATTTTATGAGTTTATAAGAAAATAAGAGTAAGCTCAAAAATAAAAAAATTTAAAGTTAACTTGTAGCTATTTTATTCAAAAAATAAGTTTGAAAAATTAACATAAATAAACCGCTTTAAATACGTCATTTTTTGTAGAGTTTCAAAGAACGCGTCGTTAAAAATAAATGAGCGTAGACAAAACTAAAATTTTCCAGCTGTATATTTATTTTTTGGTCAGTACTTTTTTCTAGTAAGCAAATCCAGGTTTCGCGTATTTTTGTAAAATCAAGACCCGAATTATTTAAATTTATTTAAACCATTTATACTCATTTTCTTATAATAATTTGCGATAGATCATGTTTATTATATTAAATAATTATTTTTAAAATACTATAGCAAAATTTGTCAAAACTTATACACTATTAAAAATGAATTTAAGCATATATTATATTCGGTGCGATATTTAAGCACTTATTATATTCGGGTCAGGATTTTATAAAAAACGCGAAACCTGGATTTGCTCACTGGAAAAAAGTTTCAACCTTATTTTTTCTGTATCAAATTTAAGTTTGTAAGCTAAAACAATAAATGTTATTTTTTTCCAAACTGTCTATCTAAACTCGTATAAGTTGCAACATTTGAAACCATGTTTTTTTTTTATCTATTTATAAATGTTTTACTTACATAAGTTCTTCTAATTATATGACTTTTATGTAAAATCACCCAATTTTACAGGAATGTCTATATGTCTAAAAAATTGTAAAAATTAAAAAATAAACTGCCCACGTTTCATTATATATGAAAACACACGGTAAAATGTTGTACACCAACACTTGTTTTAAAAATTTATTAATTATAATTCTATCTATTTTTATAATGAACTATATCAAAAACAAATTAAATTAAGATAGAATCGGAAAAACTTTCAAATTTTTTCTTTATAGTTCAAAAAAGTAAGTAATCGCTGGTGTCTACCAAAAACCGAAAATTTAGTACGTTTTTAAATTTATATATATATATATATATATATATATATATATATATATATATATATATATATATATATATATATATATATATATATATATATAT